AAAAAAAAAAAAAAAACCCTCTTTCAACTTGAATCACTCCATGCTGTGCAGTGCAGGGACCCAGGCTTCCCTTCCTACAGGTAGTGTTTACATTCCCCCAGCCTCCGAATCCAAGTCATCTTTCCCAAAGCTATACAGTTCTCACGGGGCCCGTGGCCCTTAGCCCTTGCACAAGCAGAGACACACACACTCACACCCACAGCCAGGCCCCCATCTTCCCAGGGCATTCCAGTGAGAGTCCCTAAGGACAGAGATGCTGAGAGAGGCCAGTTAGAGTGTGTTTCTCACCCAGCCCCGCTGGTCGGAGACAAGCATAGGAAATGACTCTGAGGACACTTCCACACCATCACGTCCCTCCCTCTGATGGTCACTTCTGCCAAGTGTGGCAGGAAGAAAGTGTTTCTCTCTGATGATGGCTACCTAGATGCTTTCTCTCTGAGACAATAGTCTCAGGATATTAGTGCGAGGGAGCAGGAGGTGAGAGGAGTCACTTCCCAGGTGGGCTCCCCAGGCACCCGCCATCAGAGTTACATGGAGGATACCACCTCAGCTGGCAAATCAATGCTCTCTCTGACCCACTCATTAGCTGTGTCTATTGTCCCAAGGCTGGACAAGGCCAACAGAGAGATGGGGGTGGGGGTGGGGGCAGAGGCAAGAAGAAAAGGCTCTGAGGGAAAGCACAGAGCAGTCAGGTGAGTGAGTTGTCAGAGGGCGAGAACAGGTGGGGAAGAGAAGATTTTCACGGGGAAAACCATCCACTACTCGGGTCAAAGGAGATTCAGATGATGTCAACCCCTGGGGCTGAGTTGGGGGAGAGTAGAGAAGGGCAGTAAAGCCCAGGAGTGAGGCTTGTAAACAGAGTGGACCTCAGGCTAGGCAGACACACTCCTGGGCTAGGATGTCATGTCTAGCCACAACAGGAATTATGGGTTTGGGAACAATCCTGGTCCGTGGTCGGTGAAGACCACCAGCCTGGCACCTGAGAGGAGGGGGCAGGGACCCTCCATTACCTAAGGGTGATCTAGGGTGGGCTCGGGCTAAAAGCACATGGCCCCTAGCAGAAGGCAGTGTCAACCTCACGGGCTGCCTGATGTACACTGGAAGGGCACCCCAGCCACAGCCGAGGGTTTGCCACCAGAGATTCAGGGAGCACCATGTAGGAGGATGAGAAAACTGAAGAGATGACACATCACATTCACCTTTCTGTCCCCACAACCTGCCATGGAGCTGGGCACCTATCAGGAGATCTGAGCTGAGGGGTCAAAGATGAGGACAGCAGTCTCCAGACATTCCAAGGTGGAAGGTTCAGTCCAAAAATGTCCACATGGTGCATTACTATCCTGGCCAAATCACAGATTGTCAGACAGATGGGTAGCAATCCTAAGAGACGGCTGATACAGGTGGATGAGAGGGATTATCTTCACTGGGTGAGACATGGACAGCTCAGTTTGGGGAAAAAGTGCCTGGGTTTGGAGAGGATGAGAGGGGAAGAGAGCAGGAGCCAGATGCTAGGCCCATGTCAAAAATGTGGAACCTGAGCTCCGTAGCTTGGCACCTGCAGGTTGTGCAGAAGGCTCTGGTGCATTTAAAGCTGAGGACAGCTGACACTATCAGCATATCTCATTTGCAAAAAAGCACAGTCTGCCTCTGCTGCCATGTCACATGGAAGCTGGAGCCTAGGAAACGATTGATTGATGGACAGAGAGCCTGAGTGCATTCTGCATTACATTGTGAGTTTGGATATGTTCTAAATGGGAAGTAGGCAGTGGGGTGTTTGGAATGAAGCCTCTCATTCCTCTCACAATTGCCACTCACAAGAGGAGCAGCATAGACCGGCACAGATGCCCACTGTACAAGGCAGACTCCCCACTGCCAGACCCACCTGGCTTGGGTCTCAGGGTGCCAGAATGGGGGAGGTGGATGGGGAGCTGCTTGAGCAATGAGCTTCTAGCTGATTTGCCTGGTGCTCTCCCTGAGACCCCCTTCTGTCTTCACTAGGCCCGCACAGACCACCCTGAGTACTTGCTACAACAGTCACAAGAGGGACTCATGTAAATGTGGGTCAGAAAGTCAGGAAACACCCCAGCATGGCAAGGATGGTTCTCTCCTGGGTCCCCAGTCCCAGAACAACCTCTCTGCCTCACATCCCAGCAGAGGGGGGTTCAGACCCTGGGGAAGCACTGGGCCCAGCCGGCCTGGGTTGTCTGGGGCAGGGGTGGTGGAGAGGCCCGCGGGAGGGAAGGAGGATGGTAGCTCGCCACTGCAGACCTGCTGGCAAAACACACGCACACTGAAGGAGGCAGGGCGCGCAACAGAAACAGAATTAACCTAGAGTGGGGGTGGGAGACAGATGAGCGAAGGTGGGAGCAAACCAGATTGGGTAAGGTGGCAGCCTCGTTGTGATGCCTTGCCTGGATCTCTGTTCTCACCCAGCTGCCCAGAGTGGAAGGAGGCTCTGGTGGACCCTCACTCATGGCCTTTGCTCTGCAGGGTTAGCCCTGTTCTTATGTCCCACCTGATGCCATTCAGACTCAGAGGAAGGCCGGAAAAGAAACCCTGGGCACCCTTGCCTGGGGTCCCCCGCCTAGTTTCTCCAGCTTGGGGGCAAACCCTCTGTGGTGAAGAGTCCTTTGACGGCCCTCAAACGCATGACATGAGGACTAGAGAGAAGAAACTTAGTTACCAGGTCATTTCCTAAGTCAGGACCTTGCCTGCCCAGCTCCCTGCTTCTGCTACAGATCTACCTCCAAGACCCCCAGAGTGGAGACTGTCCTTAGCCCTAACAACTTTGAGAAGCTGGATTTCTGAGGAGTGAGGGGACAATCATCCCACGGCACCCAACTGAGACTCCAGGTCCTGGAGCACCTGGTCCTACCCAAGGACATGCTGGCTCATTCTCACTGAGCAGAAGCCACAGTCGCTGGCAGAGCTGGTGTCAGGCCCCCATGCAGCATGCAAGGCCAGCATGCACAGTGTGGTCACCCTTTCAGGGGGTGGTAGCCTGACCCGGAGCCAAGAGCTGGCTGCTCCACTCCCACTACAGCATCCTTTTAGGGCCACAGTTGGTGGCCCAAAGGCTGTGGACACGCTCTTTGGGCTCTGAGATGTCAAGCCTAGCAAGGGCTCAGTGGTTCATGGGAAGTAATCACTCAGCGCAAGCAAAAGCTGCAGCTCCAGCGAGCGGGGCTGGCGCTTGTGTGTGGGGCCTCTTCTAAGCCACCCTCCTTCTCAGCAGGGGCCGAGAACAAGGGAAGGGGAGAATGTGCTGGAACTCCTCTGGTCCCATCCTCCACACACATCCTGACAATCTGGCTTCCCAACCACTGAAAGGGTGAGCTGGAGCATGCTTCAGCCGGGACTCTCCCTCCGTCTCCTCCCTGGTGGGTGAGCTCCACCTGCACTGCCCCACACCATGCCCATTACCTCCGCAGCTGGTACAGTACCTGCGGTTGGAGTAGCTTCAGAACACAGCGCCCAAGATGGCCAGAGAGAGGGAGAAAGGACGAGAGAGGGAAGAGAAAACAGAGCATAGGTGAAACCACAGGACAAGCAGGCATAGAAGGTTCCAGCTCAAACCTGACTCAGACGGTATGGCCAGGTGCTGGCTGCTGCCCTGAGGATGCCAACTGGCATTCAGGGGTCACAGTCAACTCTGCTGGGGTCAGGGGTGTTCCTACGGAAATCTTCCCACTTGGGTCTTGGAGACCTTTCTGTGCATTGTTTCTACCTCTACTCAAGGACTGGTCATCTAACAGGAGGCAGCACGGACAGTCCACTCAGAGCCCTACATTCCAGTGCTTTCCTCAAGGGCATGTCCTGCCCTGGCTGGGTTGGGATGATCTTTATGAAGCTGGCTGGGTGACCCTCCAAGATGCCAGGAATTGAGGGCATAAGGTGTAGATGTAGGTGGTGCAGGAGGAGGACTCCAACCCCAGTCAAAGGATGGCTCCTGTGTCTTAGGGGGAAGATGCCATATGCTGCCGGCGTAGATAGGAGAGGGGGCGCGTGTTCAGCTGAAGCTTCCCCCATGCTGTCTCAGCCTTGGAAGGCACAGGACCTTTGAAGGACCGGAGCCCTGAAGTCCCAGTCATGGCATTTGGCAGCCCCAATTCTTTCGCACCAGCGGTACTTTATGAAATGAGAAACCCAAGCGTGGATGGAGAGCCCTCCAAGGAATTCCTGAATTTTTTGCAAGTCCCTAGGTTGAGAAGAAAGTCTCTCTCGGACCTCTTGTCCCCTGGGGCTGTAGAATGTTCCCTGTGGTGGTCACCGGGGTTGGACAATGGGGCTTTATCTGTTCTGTATTGGGAAGGAGAAGAGGTTCTCCTCATATATCTCCTTTCAGAACTGAGTAATCAGGAAAGTGCATGATGGCCTGGCCCGGCCTTTGATAACAGGCACATCCGCCACTTACCCAAAGTCCCTTATAACTTCCCGAGTGCTGAGGGGGTTGGGAACACCAGGAGCGGGAGCTTGTGGTGTGACTTGCTCCTGTTTTACAAGACCAGAGAGGGACGTGGATTAAGGCTGCCAGCCTTTCCCAGCTTCTGCCGGCCCCTATCCCCAGCCTCAGTGCTGGCCAGGCAGAGTGGGCTGTGGGGCGGTGCGGGGCAGCTTACGAAGCTGCATCAGGCGCCTGGGTGAGGCAGCAGGGCCTGGCAGCCCCAGCAAAGGGAACACTGCATCCCTCCTGGGATGGGGGTGGGGGAGGTGCTCAGGAGACCCCACTGGGGCCACGATCAGGCCACAGGACCTGAGCCTCCTGCGGAAAGCACTAGAAAACTCATCAGCCTCAAAGATGCCTACTCACATCACGTCTTCTCAGAGTCTTCCCCTGCAGAACTAATCCCCCTCCTCTGCCCGGCCACTGCACTCCCTTCACTTAGACATATGATTAGATATTCTTGGGGTGTCTCTCCTGCTGGACAGTGCGAGCTTATTAGCTTTGTATCTAATTTTTAGCACAGTGCCCGGCATTCACATTGTGGGTACTCAAGAAACGGCTGTCGAGTGGACCACTGTACCTCTGGAGAGTCTCGAGCAGTTCCCGCTGAAGCCAGCGCGTGTGCGGGTGAGCCTGGAGCCCCCTCTAGCGGAGAGCTCAGGCAGGGGCAGTGCCAGTGAGGGACGCCAGGCTGCTGCAAGGTGCCAGGACCCAGGAGATGAATTTGCTCACTCTCTGTGAAGCTGGCTTGGCAAAGGGTGTTTCCCAATTCCCCCTCCTCTCCATAGCCTGCCACCGCATCCAATTCAGGCTGTCAGGAGGGACCATGTTCCCTGCTCTCCTCGTGATCCTGGCAAGCAGCTTCAATCATGGCTGTTTCCCCTACAGCCTTAGCCCCACATGACCTTGGGAAAATAAGGGTTGTCCCCAGAGCTCTCACAGTCACTCTCAATAATATTCCTGCCTGCCTCAATAGGTGGACACTTCCACTGTTCTTTGGAGCTCAGTAGCATATTTACTTCCAACATGATTTCCCTTATCTTCTCCCAACTTGTGCTCTTGTCCTTNATCAGGCCACAGGACCTGAGCCTCCTGCGGAAAGCACTAGAAAACTCATCAGCCTCAAAGACGCCTACTCACATCATGTCTTCTTGGAGTCTTCCCCTGCAGAACTAATCCCCCTCCTCTGCCCGGCCACTGCACTCCCTTCACTTAGACATATGATAAGATATTCTTGGGGTGTCTCTCCTACTGGACAGTGCGAGCTTATTAGCTTTGTATCTAATTTTTAGCACAGTGCCCGGCATTCACATTGTGGGTACTCAAGAAACGGCCGTCGAGTGGACCACTGTACCTCTGGAGAGTCTCGAGCAGTTCCCGCTGAAGCCAGCACGTGTGCGGGTGAGCCTGGAGCCCCCTCTAGCGGAGAGCTCAGGCAGGGGCAGTGCCAGTGAGGGACGCCAGGCTGCTGCTGCAAGGTGCCAGGACCCAGGAGATGAATTTGCTCACTCTCTGTGAAGCTGGCTTGGCAAAGGGTGTTTCCCAATTCCCCCTCCTCTCCATAGCCTGCCACCGCATCCAATTCAGGCTGTCAGGAGGGACCACATTCCCTGCTCTCCTCGTGATCCTGGCAAGCAGCTTCAATCACGGCTGTTTCTCCTACAGCCTTAGCCCCACATGACCTTGGGAAAAGAAGGGTTGTCCCCAGAGCTCTCACGGGTCACTCTCAATAATATTCCTGCCTGCCTCAATAGGTGGACACTTCCACTGTTCTTTGGAGCTCGGTAGCATATTTACTTCCAACATGATTTCCCTTATCTTCTCCCAACTTGTGCTCTTGTCCTTATTCCTCTACGGAAAGGAAAGGTGACAGATGTTAAGTAGCTGAGCGAGTCAAGCAGGGACCCGGGTCTGCCTACGACAGCCTTGGGAGACCCGAGTCTTCCAGATGCAACACCAGCACCTACCTGTCAGCACATCAGATGGCTCTCTCCCACTGAGGGCCTGAGGACTGGCAGCCTCATTCCCTCTCCATCCCGGGAGGCCAGGTACAGCTCTCTGTGTGTTTCTCTGGGCATCTGAATTAGCTGGGCCCTTTCACCCCAGGGGCTGCCACCAGTTACCTACCTTCATTGGGGGGTGCCGGTGACTCCTCTGTGACTGCTTCCCCAGAGCCCACCTGTGTCCTGGCGCTGAGGGTAAAGCGGTAGCGTGACACAGGGTCTGCTCTCTGCATCGTGAACTTGGTCTGATTGGGAGAGAAGTTCTCCACTATCTGCTTTCCTGCTTTGGTTCCATTAACTGGGGAGAGACAGGTAAGCGGAGTTGAACTTCAGCAGTGTTTACCGCAATGGGTTATATAATCTGCAGCTGGAAAGAGAACACCTTCTTGACTTTGTCGGAAAGGGAAACGGTGGCACCTGCCTGGTGATCCTCAAGGCTCGGTTCAAAGCCAGAGCGCTCGGCAAGGACTCCCTCTCAGCTCTGTGACTATACCGCAGGGCTAACACTTCTCCACCGATCCCATTGTTTCTAGCTCACAGCAAAGATTCAGTTTATAATTCCCAAGCCCTTTCAACAAGGACAAAACTCTCGAGTTTCTTTTTTCCTTTCAAACAGAACTAGGGCAAAACCTAGGGTTTTTGATTATTACTGCCTCCTTCGTAAAGGGTCTATTCAGTATACCTCAAAGGGCGAAGGGTCAGGTCCAAGAGACGATTCAGAACAGCATACAAGCACCGGGTTGGCAATTAAAATTGTTAACAATACAACAACTGACCTTTTCAGCTTCCCAGTGAGGTACCTCACCTACTTTAGAAGGCTTAAAGCTTTTCAAATGTAATGACACTCCTGTCCCTGCATGGTGATGCTGAGGTCTTGAGGTGAGATCTTCCCAACCTAGGCTCCTGACTTGAGTCACACCACGGTTACCTGGCAGCTCTACATACAGCTGCCTTATCATAATGACACCTTGTTAAGGTGTCTCCTGACTGTCTATGGAATCCCATGTACATACTGTCTGCCCCATCAGATGGAACTGCCACTGGGTGAGGAACTGTCTCTCCTAGACTTGTAGGTATTGAAAACTATAAGATCCCTAAAGGCTGGGGTTGTCTCCCTCATTAGAGAGGAGTTCCCTCGGTCCTGCCCGTCAGACTACAAGCTCCCTGCAGGCAGTGTTGGGTCAGGAGAGAAGGGATCGGGTCTCACCTGCCTCCCCTAACCCTATGGGGAACTTTTCCCTTAGCCTCTCCATCCCTCCACAATGCCCTCTGCACCCATCAGCTTTCTACCTCCACTCCTTAGGAAAAGTGGTAAGAATGGGGTTTTTGATTCCCAGATTATCTAAGAGAAAGAGAAGGCAGAACGTACAGGCCACGTATTTGAGAGTGTATCCAATCAGGATCCCATTGGGGTGTTCCGGGTGATCCCACTCCAGGTTGACTGTCTCCACGTTGGGCTGCCGGACTCGGAGACGCCTGGGGGCACTGGGTACTTGGGGAAGGAGGAGAGAGCAGGGGTGATGAGAGGGAGAGGTGGGGGCCAGGGAGGATGAGGAAAACACAAAAAACAAAGCACAAGTATGAAGGCATTGACCTCTGGGCAAACCCCGTGCTGGATGCTGCTGAACCAGAACCTGGGAGAACGTGAGGGGCAAGAGCTCGCTGCCCGTCCAGGACATCGTTTTCCCCAGCATTGAGGACAAGCCTGGCTCAGACTGTGCTGTTTAAACAGGGAAGAAGTAAATCCCGTTGTCCTTTAGAAACTACCCTGGATTCAGCACACATTAGGCTCTGATCCTGCAAAGATACCTCCAAACTGGGCAGAGCCATTCCTAGGCAGGGACCACTTCTAGCTGTTTTGTACAGAGGCTGCAGTTCCCCGTCCTCAGACAAGGATCTTCACCAGGGGGTCTGGGCAGCAGCCCAGGCTTCTGAGCTGAGAATGCTGGGTTCAGGGGTGAGAGGAAAGAAACCAGGATGGTTGACCTGGAAAGGCTGGGCAGGGCAGGAGTGATGGGGAGGGACTGACAATGGAAACCAAACCCAGGAGGAGGGAAAGACAGGAATAAAGAAAACAAGAGGGAAGAACAGAGGAGAGAAGAAAGGAGGAAGGGAAGAAGAGAAATGGGGAAAATAACATTAAGAAGGGAGGGAGGAGAAGCAGAAGAGGGTAAAGCAGATCAAAGAGGATGGGCAAGACCACAGAGATGAATTGGGAACTCTGCAGGCATCCGCACCCCCAGGACTGGATCGGCCACACACCTGCAGAAGGCAGGGGCCACACCTGGGCATCCTCTGCAGAGCCACCGCCCCCCTCCCCCCACACACACACACTGACTATCTCAGTGAACTCTGCTGGGTAACGCAGGACAAGAACTGTGAAGGTCTTAGGTGCAGGTAAACAAATCAGATGGTTCCAGGTGGCCAGGATGAGATTATGTCAGCCGACTGCATAGGTCTTCTCTTGAGATACAACCTCCTGTCTGACCAGGTCACCGTGGTGATGGAGCCTCTGCAGGAATTGCAGGAGCCATTTGGCTTGCAGGTCATCAGCTCCTTGAGGCCTCGAGGTCGCCTTGTGCTGTCCATGCCGAGCCATGCTGGAGCTGCTCCAGGCCCTCTGGTGTGTGCCACCCTTGTCCTGCCCACCCTGCAGGGCTGCAGGCCAGACCTACCTCCTTCTGGGGTGGTGAACTCCTTGGTTTCACTGCGAGGCCCATCGCCTCTCCCATTGACCACAACCATCTCCAGCTTGTAGTTGCTGTAGGGGAAGAGGCGGGACACCACGCCACGGAGGCGGTCACCAGGGAAGCTGGCTTGCTGTCTCTTCTGAGACACCCACAGGTTCTTCAGCAAGCTGCTCTCCCTCCAGTAGTAGGCCTTCGGGACAGAGGCAGGCTGGTGAGCGGTCAGGCAGGCAGAGCTGGGTTAGTTGTTAGTGGTGGCAGTAGTGACTGGTCTTCCCTGTGCTTGCTACAGGCTCCAGGTACCAAATGACATCATCAGTCCCACACAGGGCTGGGGGAGCAGCCTTAGAGTCCCCATTCATTAGCCTCTGGTGAATATGAATTTATGTCAAACAAGAAATAGGGATTTTGGTTTCATCATTTTCTGAGCCATGCCACCTCTGGGGACATGCAAGTTGGCGAAACTTACATCTAAGCTGCTCCATCATGAGACTTATTTCCAAGGTGGGTAACAGGTTGCTCAGGGAGTCCGTGCCATGACCACAAATACAAGCCAAGGGTCCCAGCCTGGAAAGCTCCACTCTGTGCTCAGAGACCACATCCCATTGAGTTAGATTAGTATGGTTTAGATTGGCAGCTGACAGGAGTTGGAAAGTAGCAGGTTACCCCCAGAAGTCTGAATATGAGAAAGGGTTGATTTAATCCTTTGAAGTCAAATGGTTTCTTTTCATATTGTTTGAAGACGTTTAGGAATGAGATAGACACATGTCCAAGCGACAGTCACATGTCCAGTCAGTGAGACGCCAGGCTGTGTGGTGGCAGAGCTGGGATGGGACAGGATGGCTATGGAAGGTGGTGGTGTCACAGGGCACAGTGCATGAGTTTGCAACATGAGGTCTGATTAGCAGCGGGTAAGAAGCCACAGGTCAGGCTGTGACACCAGCGTCACCCAGGCCACCCACGGCAAGGTAAGGAAGAGTCCGGACTTAGAGGGGGACCTGATGGGAGCTTTAGCCAGAAAAATCTTCAAGCAAGTAGGTTAAGGGTGCAAGTCAACTGCTGGGGAACAGCTCATTCAAGTGTACACATCATCTTGCCTCACTTTCCCCACTGGCCAAATTCATTTCCTGAGAAGAGACTGGCCCCCAACTGTCCTTTAGCCAACTATCGATGACTTCTTACAACACACAACTTGCATTAACCACAGTGACAGCCTCCCTCACTTCTCAGCCAACTTTGAACAGAGCTACTCATAAAAGGCAGAGCCCTGGATGTCCTGCTGTTCTCTCCCTTCTTTCCATCGCAGCTCACCTTTCAATAGGGGAGAGGACTGAGCAGAAACTGCTCATGGGCAGGGAGGGCCAGGAGAAGCCACGGGCCTTGATAATCCTGGGCTGGGTAATCTGAAGTTGGCTGCGACAACAGGGAGGGCCTCTGGAGAGCCCTGGATGTCCTGCTGTTCTCTCCCTTCTTTCCATCGCAGCTCACCCTTTCAATAGGGGAGAGGACTGAGCAGAAACTGCTCATGGGCAGGGAGGGCCAGGAGAAGCCATGGGCCTTGATAATCCTGGGCTGGGTAATCTGAAGTTGGCTGCGACAACAGGGAGGGCCTCTGCACCCTGTCAGTGGCTTTGCCTGTTAGTTGTCGCTTTATGAACCAGACCAGGTGAGGCAAGCAGCCCAGCAGGGACCATCGGGAGAGGTGGGGGAGCAGTTCGGTGGTGCTGCAACACGTGTTGCCACTCACTCGTATCACAAACACCGTGAACTGTGCGATGCCAACCCAGCCCTCCACCTTTCCCATGATTTTTTGAGCAGAATCTCTCAGCATATCTGTTGCAGGACATGTCAGGGAATATACGAGGGGTCTTCATAAAGTTCATGGAATGATTCATAGCATCTTTTAATTCCATTTGTCTATGAACTTTTTTTTTTTTTCCTTTTTGTCTTTTTTACTGACTGGTGACGGGATCGCAACCCTTGGTGTCGTGCCCGTACTGGGGACTGGCAACGGGATCGCAACCCTCGGTGTTGCGCCCGCACTCCTTTTTGTCTTTTTTACTGACTGGTGACAGGATCGCAACCCTTGGTGTCGTGCCCGTACCGGGGACTGGCAACGGGATCGCAACCCTCAGTGTTGCGCCCGCACCATGCTCAGCCAGTGAGCGGGAACCGGTCTCCACATGGGATCCGAACCCTCGGTGGGAGCGCCGCCACGCTCCCAAGCGGCGCACTCTCCACTGCGCCACCGGGCTGGCCCTGTCCATGAACTTTTTGAAGTACCCTTATATATTTTTTTCTGGGGATATTTTTTCAGGTTCTAGAGACAAACCCGTTGATGATCTGTTAGGCTTTTTATTTTATTTTTAGGGCTTTACAGTTGAGGTAATCACAGTGCTTCTCAGATGGTTTTCGTCCTAATCGCCATTTCAAGTACAGAGCCCAGCTGCATTGCTAGAATCATATAGCACAATATTGGACTGGTATTTTCTCTTCCTGCTAGGGGCTTTCTATTCTGTAACATAAAGGAAAATCACAACTGTCCTGACATAATTAAGTAAAAGATCAAAATTAGTCCAAACTCTCCTGGGAGATGACAAAAGTTTGGGTCTCAGTTCTGAACAGACTTGCCATGTCATCTTAGGCAAGTCCATGAACCTCTGTCAATACCAGTTTCTTGCTTGGGAAAATGAGGACATTAAAATAATCTCCCAGTTATTGTCTGACTCTAAAATAACATGCATCCGTATAAAATCTTGTATATAGTTAGGCTATTATTTTAAATGCTCTATCATTGTTAAGCATTCGCTTTTGTAGAGGGGAAAAGAGAGAGAAGATAGCTCAGAAATGAGTAGGTTGGTAGAAAAATCCAGGTTTTAAAATGATTGTAGTAGTTGAGTTATATAGAAATAATTTAGAGTTGACTTTTTAAAAATATTTTTTTATCTTTATAAGAAAATATTATAATAGAAAGTTTCCAGGGATTTTGGAGGGTTGCTCCTGACACCTAAAGTTTGTCAATTTTTTTACACAATTGAATATTGGGATTCATGCAAACAGTTATTCGTGTTGGAATAAATTCATAGTCACCTTAAAGTTCCTTTTTTCATGTGAAGATTGAGGAAGTGCCCATTTTACTGTCTTGAATAAGAGCTGAGCAGTTAGTCAGAAGGATGGCATTCACAGAATATTTGGCATTGACTTAAGTTTCGGGCTGACATTGATTGGAATATTTCAGTTTGTCGTCTTGGCTGTCAGATGTCAGTCAGCGCCTTGACCTGGGCCAGAACAAGGGTGTTGCTCTGGAGTGAAGTTTGGGTGTCCTTGCTGGTGACATCCTGCCACCTCGTGGCCAGCTGTGGACTTGAGCATTGTGCATTGTTCCCTAGGTGTGCAGGCTGCCTTTGGCTGAGCCTAGCTGCAGAAACAATATGCAACTAAGCATTTCCACATTTCGGGATTGGAAGCACAACTCTGTGGGTTCTATTCATTATTTATAGACTCTTTTATTGGTCATAAAGTGCTGGCACTGCTCCCAGTCCCAAAGGAGAATCCATATTCCTGTTATTTTTTAAGAGTGCTCACATAACTGGTAGGATGGCAGAAATGGAGAAAGATTATGTGTTGGAAATGTCGAACTTTTTCTGCTTCTAAATCTACTCTTGCTTCATGTGAGCCCCTGATTTGGAGTCTAGAGGTCAATTTCTTCCTGGTTCTGCAGATTAAACTGTTCATCCTGGGGAAGACCACCCTTCTGCCTTGGGTTGAATGTCCCCCCAAAACTTAATCCCCACTGTAACTGTTTAGGGTGGGAAATCCTATTATGGTAATTGAAAGGTGGGGCCTTGAAGAGATGATTAGATTGTGGGACCATGCCATAATGAATGGATTAAAAATGGCGGTCATGGGCGTGGTTTGGAATGAGGAGGTTAGTGTCTCTCTCTGCTCTGCCGTTTTCTGCAGTGGGGACCACTGGGTCACTGTCGTCACCACTAAGGCCTTCACCAGATGTGTTTCCTGGTCTTTGGACTTCCCGCCTCTGAAACTCTAAGCAGTTGCATCGTGGAAGCCCCAAATCTGAAAGGGCACTTGCGTAGTGTTCACCTATTCCAGAGAAACTCACTCTATATTGCAGTAGGTAGAGACATTGGTTTATTAGACTTATGGGAATTGCTGATGGCAGCCGGTCAGCTAGAAATCCGCACCTCCGTGGGGTACATACAACAGTTCTATAGTGAACAGATCGAAGGAGAGGTGTAAGTTATTTGCATGCTCGTGTTGGAACAGAGAACTGGTTATGCAGGCAGGGCTGGCCCCTGGATTCTAGGGTCCCCTCTGACTTGTTCTCTGCTGGCCTGTATCTCCACTCCACTCTGGACACTGGGTACTCCATGCGGGCAGGGGCTATATCTCCTCCATCAGNTAACCACAGTGACAGCCTCCCTCACTTCTCAGCCAACTTTGAACAGAGCTACTCATAAAAGGCAGAGCCCTGGATGTCCTGCTGTTCTCTCCCTTCTTTCCATCGCAGCTCACCTTTCAATAGGGGAGAGGACTGAGCAGAAACTGCTCATGGGCAGGGAGGGCCAGGAGAAGCCACGGGCCTTGATAATCCTGGGCTGGGTAATCTGAAGTTGGCTGCGACAACAGGGAGGGCCTCTGCACCCTGTCAGTGGCTTTGCCTGTTAGTTGTCGCTTTATGAACCAGACCAGGTGAGGCAAGCAGCCCAGCAGGGACCATCGGGAGAGGTGGGGGAGCAGTTCGGTGGTGCTGCAACACGTGTTGCCACTCACTCGTATCACAAACACCGTGAACTGTGCGATGCCAACCCAGCCCTCCACCTTTCCCATGATTTTTTGAGCAGAATCTCTCAGCATATCTGTTGCAGGACATGTCAGGGAATATACGAGGGGTCTTCATAAAGTTCATGGAATGATTCATAGCATCTTTTAATTCCATTTGTCTATGAACTTTTTTTTTTTCCTTTTTGTCTTTTTTACTGACTGGTGACAGGATCGCAACCCTTGGTGTCGTGCCCGTACCGGGGACTGGCAACGGGATCGCAACCCTCAGTGTTGCGCCCGCACCATGCTCAGCCAGTGAGCGGGAACCGGTCTCCACATGGGATCCAAACCCTCGGTGGGAGCGCCGCCAC